CTGGTGACAAATCTGCAGTTAGGGTTACCTGACTTGAAGAAAGTGGAGATGAAGTTTGAGTTACTCCCTTTTGAGAGCCAGGCAGTTGCAATGAAGTTGAGGTTCCAAATGACTTTGGTGATTGGGTAGATGTTGTAGGTGATGAAACCCCTATTGTTGTGATGTTTGATTGTGATGATTTTCCATTTGGTGGTGCAGAGGTTATATTATCTGATGAAGATGATTCAGAATATTGGTTAAAGGGGTTGTATTGGATATTGAGGTTGTATGTGTTAGCAGTACTGCATAGTTATGACATGACAGTTACTTTTTGAATTATTGTTTCTTTCAGTGCAAAAGTCGTTACCTGAAAGTGATGGTGTGTCATCATGTGGCTTTTTTTGAGGTTGTACTGACTCAAGTTGAGTTTGATTGAAGTTTTAAAGATTTTATTGATCCCTGAAAGACTACTGGAAAACCTTGAAAACTCTGATGTAGCTACTCCTTTGTATGGTGTATTAACAACTTCATAATGCCCCAGCAACTTGTCAGCATACTATGTAATCAACATTAAAATTTGTCATTACAACCTGGCAACTGCCTAGCAAACCTAGAAAACCACTGACATCACAGAGTCACTTACTTATTTTACATCACTGAATCTTCCTAACAACCACAACATCACCTCCCATCACATTATCTCCATCCTACAATCATTGCACCAACTACTCTATGCAGATACACATTGAAGAAAACTATTGCTTCGCACCTGTTTGTCCTGCTTTCCTCAGGCAGACGTTGCAAGTCCATCAGAACCAGGACAAACAAGCTCAGAGACAGCTTCTTTCCACAAGCTATCACTACACTGAACACACACACACACTAACACATGAATGTTTCCTATTTAACTCATAACTATTTTTTAATCTACCAAACACAGGAAATGCAATTTCTATGATTAAAATAAGTAATTAAAACCATTAAATTATCTGTCATATACTGTCATATTGCCCTGTGGTGTTACTATATATGATATATGTTTGTCACTACATATCTTATCAACAACAATATTAACCAAACAACAGTTATCTGTAAAATTACGGAATATCATGTCCTGAAACTAAAATAATTTTAGATCTTGCCTGTTAGGGCTTCAGTATTTATTACCTGTTGTTGTGCTAGTTGTGTTTTGTGCTGTAACTGATGTTGACTCCAACAGTCCTGCAAAATACCAAAAAGTTATTTTTGTAAGTACTGAATATTACAGTTCTACACCTTCTCCCTCCTTCTCCTCTCTCCTCAACACCCTCAAAAGCATACACTTAAACAAATACCTGCAAACAGGAGAATGAATATCAGAGGTTCCATGTCCTCTGTATCTTTTCCCTGTGAAAGAACAGTACATAAGGAAGTCATTATATGTTATTATAAATTAGTTAAAAAACTGATTTCATCTCAAGATCAATCTACTGGAAACAATCACACGCTACAGTGTTACCTCATAGCAGCTCCAAGGTAATATCTCAACAGGAATGAATTGGACCTGCTGTCCCCATTGCCCCAGTTTTCCTTGTTTTCCAGTACAATCATTTAATAGAGATGCCATTCACTAATGATACAGTAAGTACCAACATGAATTCAGAACCATCCCAAAACTATATATGTGTTGCTTAAGTGGCACATAGGCCTATAATGCAAAACAGTACAGGTCAGTACAAATTTGATTTACTGACTGATATTAACAACTTCATATTAAAAATCAGAAATGCCCTGTGAAAAAAACAAAAATTATTACCAAGTTTATTACAAGTGGCACAGCTTAGGAAATAAAGGACCTTTCATGAAGCATCACAACATTTTCAACTGACCAATGAAGTCATCCTTAAGCTGCTGAGTAGACCATGTGGTTCAAACTTAAGGACAGTTTTAACCCTCACCACTGTATAAAAGATATGTCTTAAATCCTACTCCCCTTACTCATGGTGCTTATAAATCCTATAGAAATGAATATATTAATTTTATTAGATCTGCAAAAAGAAATATTTTAGTGATGAATTAAACAGTTGTTCAAACAACATTAAATCCACATGGAAAGTATTAACACAAACAAACTGAGCTCTGTTAGAAACATATTTTGTCAACCATTTTGAGTAACATCCTGAAAACCATATTTATATAACTTCGCCAATAAGATATTGTGATTTACAGTATCAAATGCTTTAGAGAAGCCTAAGAAAATACAACAAACAAATTCATTGTTTTCGAGAGCAGATGTAACCTTGTCAATCAGGTGAAGCAGAGCCATATCAGTGGAATAATTTTTTTGAAAACCATACTGATGATTGTAAAGAATTGTATTGAAATCTAAATGAAGAAGAATCCTGTTGTAGATAATTTTTTCTAGTACTTTTGAAAAACATGGCAAAATAGATAAGGGCCTATAATTGTTAAAACAATATGGATCGTCCACTTTAAACAAGGGAATAACTTTGGCAATATTTAAATCCTCTGGCACAACTCCTGTTTTTAAAGACAGGGAAAAGATGTAAGAAAGTGGTCGCAAGATTAATTGTTTCACCTGCTTGACAAGAGATACTGGAATATTGTCATAGCCAGCTGCAGATGTTTTCAATTGATCAATTATGTCACTTATTTCCTGGAAATCGGGGAGCTTGAAGGAAGACATAACAGGAAATGTCCCTTGAGTAAAATCCAATGGGTTTACATGACAAGTAGGAATTTTATTTGCTAATTTGTTACCAATATTAACAAAGAAATCATTAAACTGTTCAGCTATATCAAATGGGTTACTTAAAGAATCTTCCCCATTCAGAAAGACAGAAGGTAATTCTGAGGTGTTTTTTTCTCTTTGAAGCAGCTGGTTTAAGGGATGCTATTCTAACAGAGCTAAACTACACTGTGGGGTTCCACAGGGATCCATTCTTGGACCACTATTATTTCTTATTTATATAAATGATTTAGCAAATGTTTCAAATCTCTTCTCTTCTATCATGTTTACAGATGACACAACCCTTTTTCTCTCACACTCAGACTTTAGTTCATTGATTGAAAATGCAAATGTTGGTTTAGGTGCGTATGTTGCATGGTTTAAAATAAATAAATTATCTCTAAACATTAAAATATCGAATTTTATTATTTTTAGCGGCAGAAAATCCTATAATTTGGATTTATCTCATATTACAATTGAGTCCATTGAGATGCCCCAGGTATCAACAACAAGATTCCTGGGAATTATCATTGATGAGGGTCTGAGCTGGAGAGAACAAATTGATTGTGTTTGTAGAAAAATAAATAAATCTATTGGTATAATAAGGAAGGTTAGCCATCTTATCACTTGAAATTGTCTTCTTACTCTCTATTACAGTTTGATTTATCCACATCGTTCATATTGCAATTTAGTTTGGGGGAGTACATAGCCCACTACTCTCCAAAAGATTTTAACCCTTCAGAAAGGCTTTGTTAGAATTGCATCCTGATCTGAGCCATGTACTCCTTCTGCCCCTTTATTTCAGAATCTTCAGATCCTTACAATTTATGACATTAATGTTTTTCAAATATGTGTTTTGATTATAAGATTCTCTACTCAACTGAAGAAAATATATCCCAGAACAGTTTAGGACTTACTTCCTAGCAAATTCAGTTGTTCATTCATATACTACACGTCAGTCATCAGCTCTCCATCCTCCAAAATGTCTCACTTGCAGAAGCCAATTTTCTATTAGATTTAGAGGCACAGAATTATGGAATAGTGTTTCCCACATTGCAAGTAATTGTTCATCAGCAACATGACAACAAGACATCTAAGAGAACATTTAATTAAAGCTTTGTAGCAAAACATGTAGCCCACTTGAAAGCTTTCTGTATCTCATTTCCAGTTTTTTGTATCTTTATTGTAATTTTTATATTATATTGTATAT